CATCCTGGGTTTCCTCCCCTGCTTTCCAGCCCTTTAGGGCAGAGTGGCTACACTGCCTCTGGGGGTCACCTGAGGGGACTGGGCTGACGGGGTTGGGTGGTGGCACCCTCCCCCTGCAGCGCCCCCTCCTGCCCACGTTGCTGCTGCCTCTGCAGAGGGGTCTCTCCAGCTCTGTAACCCAGCCTTCGAAGTCACCCAGCGAGTCCACGTTTTGGACTCCTCTGATCCCCTTGGCCCCTGCCCACTCCTCTGCCTGTGCCTTCACTCCAGAGCTGTGTTCTCTGGGGATTCCTGGTAGGGATGGATGGCTGCAAACCTCTTAAAGACACAAGTCCCCACTCTCCCTGTCTGGGCCTGGGTGTGGAGTGGGCACTGCTCCTTGCCTCCCTCCCTGACCGCATCTTCCTCCTGCTGTCCCACCTCCTCGGGCCGCGCACGGTTAAGCCCAGACAGCAGCATCAGGCCCCTGACCTGTCCTTGTACCCACGAACCTTGCTCCCTGCTCAGTGTCTGAATCCTTTTGCCGGAGGTGTCTGGCCTCTCCCAGCCCTTCCAGAAGTATTTCAGTCTGATTCCTGCAGTGTCCCAGAGCCGTCCTGTGGGGACACTGTGCACCCCTGGCAGACAGGGACCGGGGAGGGGCAGGAGAGCAGCTTAGCCAAAAGGGGTCTCAGTGGTGCCACCCTTTGTGCTCCCAACTCAGCCTCTGCCTGACAGCCCTGAAGTGAGGGGCGTGGGCCCTGCCAGCTGGGCAGGGAGGGAGCCTGTGTGTGCACGAACTGCAGGCTGGGAATGGCGCCCAGGGCGGCCATTCATCATGTTGGTGCTGGGCTCCGTGGCTCTCCGTTCTGAGCTCTGAAGCCCACGGGTGCCTGGGCTCCACACACCTGCCACGTACCCTGCCTGCCCCGACTGCTTCTCAGTTCCACCTGTGGCGTGGAAGGCGCTGTGCCAGGCTCCCCCACGGGCTGCTCCATGCGGCCACCTCCTCAACCTGCCGTCTGTCCGTCCGTGGGTCACCGAGCTGGAGGCAGCCCTGCTCTGACTCCTTCCTTGCAGTTTGTCCCCAGGGTGAGCATCGAGGACAGGCCCTGAGGCCAGGGACATCCGGGCCCTCGCTGCTGGTGCCAGGGTGTGGTGACTTTGCCCAGTGCCACCGTTTTGGTGTCCTGGGAGGGAGGAGGAGCAGTGCCCGACCCTGGGCTCTGGGGGTGAGAGGTCAGCCTGGCTTGGGCTGAGCCAGGCCCCAGCTGGCCTTGGCTGTGTGGCTCTGTCTCCCTGCAGGCCCCTCTCAGCCTTCTGGGTCCGTGCACTGTGGCCTCAGAGGGGGTGTTGGGGCCCGACTGCTGGGTCCAGAGTGTTGGGGCTGCCCAGAGGGTAGGACCGGACAGCGAGCGAGCGCCTGGTTGCTGGGGGTGGGACACGTGGGCCCTGCTGCTTATGTGTTTCCATTCTCTTCCTCTTCCATTTCTAATAATACAGCTTTTTAAAGAAAGCTAACAAGGATGCGTTTCATTATAGTCATTTTGGAAAATATGACAATATATAAGTAAGAAAATGAGATCCACCCATAATCCCCATCAGATTCCAGCGGCCCTGAGCTCAGACAATGAAGAGCCGAAGAGGCCGATGGGGGGCAGGGGTGTGCGTGCTGGGCGCATGGAGAGCGCTCCCTGCAGGCCTTCGGTCCATCCTGCTCGGAGCCCCTGCCCTGAGCAGACGCCCACCGTGGGTTCCCCTTGGCTGGCGTCACCCTGGGGCCGCACTTGAGGCGGGGACATCTCGGGGATCCAGTCAGCTGGGGGGCAGGGGCGCATAGCTGTTACCCTTCAACACCAGGGTGCTGGCAGGAGTTGAGGGTTTGGTGAGGACAGCGATTTCTCATGGGCTGGGAAGAAAGCATTACTCACTGAGCTGGGTGGGATGATGGGAAGCCGTCTGGGACAGGGACGCTGCATCCTGCCGGACTCTGGGACCAGATGTTTTCCAGATGGACCAGAGATGGGAGCTTTGAAAGCGAAACCAGATACTGCTAAGACGACATGGGAGCCTGGGTTTTATGGTCTGGGGATGGGAATGCCGCTGTAAGTATGACATAAATCTTAGAAGTCGTAAAAGAAACACCTGACCGTATCAGAGTTAAGCCTTGTCTCGGTAGCCAAAAGAAAATTCCAAAGTCGCTGGTCTTCCTAAGGAAAGAGGTTGGTTTGCTGTAACACGCAGAGTCCCTGCAAGTTGGTAAGGGCCAGCAGACAGATACGGAGAGGGCCAGGGGACATGGAGAGTTCTGCAGGGAGAGGACAGAGGACCTGCGGTGTCTCATCTCACCAGGCGGGAAGGCAGGGGGTCCACCTGGCTCGCGTGGCCCCGGGGACAAAGGACAAGCACTGGATGGGACCTGGGCTCACACGTGCTGCCTTTCTCCAGGGTGCACTTGGCTGCATGCGTCAAAATGCCGAAGCACACACGCTGTGCCCCGGCCACTCACTGGCATGGACACGCGCGTGTGTAAGAGCTGCACATGATTCATGCAGTCACCACGGGCCTGGTGCATGGGTGCACCCCGCACTGATCCTGCCTGGGCCTTTGGGGAGTGGCCGGTGTGTGGTCCCAGCAGGTGGGTGGGCACAGTGGGCGGGCACAGACAGTGACCTGTGGCCCAGTTGCCCTGTGCGTTGCACGCCCTTCCTACAGCCAGACAGCAGCCTTTTGGCTGAAATGACTGAGTTAAACAACTGTGCGGTCTCAAACAATAAAGAGTAATGACAAGAAAGACCAGACAGTGGGATGGGATTGGCGGTGTGGGTCCCATCCTGAGGTGCCTGGGAGACAGAAGTCTAGGCCTGGGCACTTGCAGAAGTGTGCCCGTCCCCAGCAGCCTCTGTCCTGTCGTGTTACAAGAGGGAGACTGAGGCCGGGGACTCCTGCCCTGGAGTGTCTTAGGGTGTGGGGCTGCTCTGGCGGAAGAGCTCGTCCCTGTGACATGAGCCCATTGTCAGAAGAGCAGACCCCTGTCCCTGGAGGATGCGGCCCAGGCCCCTTGTGCTGCTTGAACCCTGGACATAGCTACGTTTCTTTCCTACATACTCAAGACCTGTGAATGATTTCTAAATTAGGCACAGTTATAGACGGACAGCATCTGGTCAAATTAAAAGTGGTGAGAATGTTCTAGAATAAGAGTTATTAAAACTTACAGGGTTTTTCTCTGGCATTTCCACTTCGCATTTTCGGTGGAGCTCAGGTGAGGGAAATGGAGCAAGGAGAAACTGGCCATGGGGAGCTGCGGTCCCTGCTGGGCTCTGCGCCCACCCAGCACACCCGGCCCGCCTGGCCTGCTCCTCGCTGGTGACTGGGCCGCCCGTGGTTTCTGTCAGGATTAACCCTGGGGCGAACCTTTCCGGGTCCCCCTGCTGCTGTCCTGAGGGTGAGTTCCTAGACGCTGACTCACTGCTTTCCAGCACCTCCAGCCCTTTTGCTGCAGAACTGTGATCCACCAGCAGAGGGCGGTGACCACCTGAGTGGCTGCACCCTGGGCAGTGTGGCTGTGCCCAGAAGGACCCTGCCTTCTGCTCCTGGGGCGCTGTTACTTCATGCTCGGGTCCCTGCGATGTGGCCCTGGGTCCTTGGCCTTCCAGGCAGCACCTGCTTTGAGTCTGGAGGGAGGAGCACTTCTCGTGACCCAGGGCTAGTGCGAGGGTCCAATGGTCACCTGCAGGAGCAGTACAGGAGCAGCGGAGCGCTCTACCTCTGCTCCCCACCAGGTGGAAAGCAGAAGGGGGTCTTGGGGACCCGAACTGCTCCCCGTCCTTCCCTCCGGGGGGGTTGTACATTTGCTGAGTGGTCCCGGCTCCTGCTGTGCTGGGTCTACTGTCTCCAGGTGGACTGGACACGCTCAGTGCCCATGGCTGCCATGGTGTAGCTGCCCTGCTGGGTGCGCTGGAGCCAGGGTCCAGGGTACTTGGGAGAGCACGGCCCAGACTTGGGGAGGAGGGAGGCGGGAGGAGCTGCTCCTACGTCCGGCGCACAACTTTCCAGAAGGAAAATGATCACAGAGCAGCCCCACGCCTGTCCTTTACCCATCCGGAGGGTTCTGCAGTCCACGGCAGGGAGACTTTGAACTTCGGGGTCAACTCACCAAGCTGGGGCCGGAGCTTGGCAGGGCTGGTGGTGGAGACTCCTGGGTAGAGGTGCCTCAGTCTGATCTGTGGGGCACCCTTTGGGGGTGTGTCCCTAGCCCTAGGACGCTGTGGGCTTGTGCAATGTTCCCATAGCTGATTTTGAGTCATCGGTTAGTGTTTTGAAAAATTGCATAACCGTAGTGATTGACAGTGCTGCCTGGTCCTCAGGGAAGTTGATTGAGATATTTCCCAAGGTCAGAGTGACCCACAGCACGGCTCTCGTTCCTCTGGCCTGTGATTGAGTAAAGTCATTTGGAGCTGTGCAGATGACAGTGAAATCTTCAGGGATGCAGAAGGATTTGCCGGAAAGATACTCACCCGGGTCATATCTATAATGGCATATGGTTGGGGAGACCCAGTTTCGTGCCCGTGAGCTGCTGGGGTCGCTCATAGCTTCTGCCCAAGAGCGGCACCGCCAGCCGGGTCTCCTGGGGAACCGTGCATCTGGGCCGAGTGGATGGCCACTGCAACCGGAAGAGTAGTCCATTTAACCTCGTCTATCACGGTATGGGTTTTGTGGCATTTAAAAGGTGTTAAGCCATCTCCAGAGGCCAATTTCCTTCTTCGTTTAAAAGCTTTTCCTGAGAGTTAAAGGCAGATGCCAGCCGCTGCCAGCACTGGGGAGGAGGAGCAGGCAGCTGGCACACCCGCTCTGCAGCCTGAAAGGGCAAGGGTGAGCCGGGCAGGGCTTTGCCAAGGCGCCCTGTGTGCACGTGGGGTGCAGGCGACCCACTGCGAATGTCACGCTCCTGGGAAACAGGCATTCCTGAGAAGTGCAAGTGTGGTTTTGCTTTACAAAGATTACTTAAAGATTGCACGCTGTCAAGGCAGAGGCAGCAGAACTGTGACTGTCCCACGGCTGCGGGTGGACACGGAGGGAGGTGACTGTGTCCTTAGATGATACCACTTCCTGCTGGGCACTGATTGGAGTCTGTTAGTCGATCGATTAAGCAGTATGTGTCCATTCTAGCAATGTTAGAAGCTGCCCGAAGGTATAAAGAAGAAAATGAAAGTAAATCATGACCCCTGACTTGTTTAAAGCAAGCTGCTTGCTGCTGCTGCTATGGGCTTCTACTGCACAGCACAGCCAAATAAATGACAGAACGAGAGTGTTAATGTTCATTCTTTCTGCTGTTTGTTCTGTGCCTGTATGTACACCTTTGGGATTACGTGCTGCCTGGTGGCAATTTTAAACATAAAATATAGGGAACACATTTCAGTAATGGAGGAAGGAAAGGAGACTCCTGTTGCCCACGAAGGCCCTCTCTATTCTGTGCACAGAGTACTGCCCTCTATGGTTGGGAGCAAGGCGAGCCTGTCTGCTCTGATCGCTCCTGTTCTGTCTCCTTTGGAGGCCGTGGCCAATGCAATAAGACAGGAAAAAGAAATAAAAGTCTTACAGGCTAGAAGGAAGAAGGAAAACTATTCTTATTTTCAGACTACATTGATTGCTTATGTAAAACAATTCCAAGAAATCTGCAAAACAACGACTAGAACTAGTAATTGAGTTTAGTATGGTGATACAAAATGAGTACCTGAACTGGGTGTGGTGTTGCACACCTGTAATCCCGGGACTTGGGAGGCTGAGGCAGGAGAATTGCCATGTCCAGCCTGGACTACATAGCAAGACTTTGTCAAAACAAAACAAAATCTGTACCTCTGTAAACTCAATTTAATAGACAGTTTTTCCCATGCAATTAAATATCCCCTTGCTATTACTATTGATAGTTATTAATTATTCATGGCATAGTAACTTGATAAGTCTGTCTTACTGACTTACAGTGCCCTGCTATCAAAGTCTGCAGTGCCACACCGGGTCCCATGGGTGTGTGAGGGGACTGGATGTGCCAAGACTTTCAGCCCTGAGTTTTACACCATCTTGTGTCCCTCTAAACTGTGTGCCTGGGAAAGGAATTGGCCACCTTGCCGTTACTTAGTACACTAAAAAGACGCTCTCTGTCTTTGAATGGAGACAAATAAATATTGATTTAATCTGTATTTGCTAACTGGCATTGGCGTTGAACATCAATTACCTGCTGTCCCTTCCTTAGTGGTCGCAAGAGTGCCCCCTGTGTCCTCCCGTGTCAGTGCGTGCCTGGCACCTGCTTGGTGCAGTGGTTGCCATTGGCCACCTGCACCTCGAGTCTTAGTAAGATCTCTGCTTCGCTGGTGCAGAGCTCGTTGGGGAATCCCCTGTGTCCTCCCGTGTCAGCGCCTGCCTGGTGCTGTGCAGTGGTTGGTGCAGTGGTTGCCGTTGGCCACCTGCACCTCGAGTCTTAGTAAGATCTCTGCTTCGCTGGTGCAGAGCTCGTTGGGGACCATGTGTCCGCTCCACACAGCCTCAGGCTCAGGGACATGACTGGGCGGGGCTGTGCCTCCAGACTGGTCACCCAGGTGGGGCTGGGTTTCCCCACATGGGTCCCCCAGCAACCTGTGACACTGCATATTGTCCCAAGGGTTTCTTCTCCCTCCATCCTCCATCTTGAATCTAAGGATGGACTTCTTTGTTGTTCGTTGGTTGGTTTGTTCACTGATTCTGTCCTCTATTTGTGAGCTCATCTATATTTGTGTTGACTCCTGTGTTCATTGGATGGTTTGCGTGTGTCTTCACCTCTTCATTGGTCAGCTTGTTTTCTTGCTCACTGGTAGGTTGGCTCATCCCGTCACTTGCTCTCTGATTGGCTGATTCATTTGTCCATTAGTTGGTTCATGGCTCCATTTGTTGACTGGGTGGCTTGAAGCCACTGATGAAACCCTTCATTTCCGATTGTCTGGCTTGCTCAATCCTTTCTCATTTCTTTGAGCACTATGCTGCAACCTGTTCAGCTCTTTATAATTTCTTTTGATGTGTGTGTTGCACGTAACGGTTGTTCTAAGCATCCTGGGAAGGTCAGGTCCTGTTTGTA